CTGGACTAAACACAACATAATTTCTCTGTAATGTTACAGTGGAATCTTGGAAAAACATAATGTTCCTCCTGTTATGTGCAATAGATTCTTCTTTAATTGCAGCAGCTAAAAAAAGCTTCTATCTTTATAGTTGTGGAACCAAAGCGATGAGGTTTATGGTCTCTCACTGTCAGCAGGTTTATAGAAAATTTATAGTATGTGTTCTAAGTTCTGAGTTTACCATTTTGTGTTGGAATACTTACTAAAACTACTGCTGAAAAAAGCTCATTATAGGATTAGAAGTTTTTCTATCTTTAAAGATTCCTGTAATTTGAATAGACTTTATGTAGTGTTTTTACTTTCATCTCCTTTTCCCTCAAACTGCTATTTTATCTTGTCCAGAATCAAGAATCTGTTCAAGATGTTTATTCCTCCTTTTTATTTTTATTTTTTTTTAACCTCCTTGGAAATTGAACTCACTTTCTTATCGTTCCCTGACTGACTTCCAGATATTCTAGTTAATTTAGAAAATGAACTTTTAGTTAATTTTAGAAAATTGCCAATGACACTGTAAATCCCCAAACCATCTTTTGGTTATTTAGATAAGTTGGAGTCATATTTTCTACAATATTTGTTGTCCATCTTTTTTCTGCTTCTGAGTTCATTTTTTTGGTGCCACATTATTATTATTTGCAATCAATGGAAAAAGGCTAATTATCTTCTTTTTTTTTTTAAGATATGTTCTAGTTTTGAAGTGAAAATATGTTCATGTTGTCTGTTATGGTAAGAACTCTGTATTTGGTTAAGTACCCTTCCGTTTGTAGCTGGTAAGGATGTTGGGTTGATGATGCAGTTGAGCCAAACTGCACTATGCATGACTCTACTAGCTTAATATTCAGTCATTCATCGACACCACCACCACCACAAAAAAAACCCCAAACACAACAAAACCCAAACAAGCAACAAACAAACAAAAACCCAAACCAACAAACAAACAAACAAAAGGAAAATAAAAAAGACAAAAATGTAAAAATTAGAAGCAAATTGTTCATCAGTGAATTGAAATGAGCAGATTTTGCCTTTAGAAACCTATCTAAATATTCTTCAGCTGTACATGATGCTAATTTAACCACAGAGTCACAGAAATGTGATTTAGTTTTAATGTTACTACATTTGGTATTTTATTAGTGTAATTTAGAGAAAATTCCTCCCTCTGGAAGATCTGAGTTGGGCACTGGAACTCAGCATATCTAGAGAAGGAAAATAGAAAGGTTGCCTTTTCAATAAAGGGAACACATGATTTAATCAGTCCCTTCCATTAATATAATAAAGTCATTTCTCATTTCCATGAGAAAGATGGTATCTGAACCCTCACTGTTTCAAAATCTCATGTCTTGACTCAGTCTCACTAAAAATCAAGGTATAGGAAGAAGCAATTTCTGCTTTGACCTTCCTTGCCAACATGTCTATAATGCTTCTCAGTCACAGTGGACTGTCCCCTTGTGTTCAATAACTGCCATTCTCTCTTTCCTTCCTGTTTTTCCCCTATTTTAACATAAGCATGCATACTCTGTATGCATAAATCTGGATGGATCAAAGCTTGAATACGTTTTTTTTATCTGTATTCCTACACTTCAGAAACGTAGTAGAAAAGCAATTTATGCCTGATGGAAATGTAAGAAGTCTTCAAATTTTGCAGAACCAGTCTTGCTCTATTTTTTATGGGTGACAGCAGACAGCTTTCTCCTACAGTATGTGGTCAGTAACTTCAAAACAATATTAGGCCTTCATTAAGGTGAGAGAAGCATACAGGGAAGCTTGGTTGCTGTTGAATACACATTAGTGGACAAATTACTAAATCTGAAAAGGTAGGGTTCCTATTGACTAAGTATTTTTTTACAATTCTGTCTAGCACTGGAAATGATGATGCTGCAGCCAATTCATATTTTTATTTAATCTCTGTCATTACTACACTGATTTTTTAAAAATAAAACATGATGAATGAGGTAAGACCTTCTTTATGAGATCTGCGTATTTTTAAAGGCATGCATGAAGTGGGATTTAGCAAAATGAAATTTTTGCATAGACTTAAAGTCATCTGGTAGGAACTAGCAAGTATTGCTATATCCCGCGTACAGTTCCATAATCTGCACATAATATGTAAAAGCTGACATCTAACAGATCGGAGTGATTCAGCTGAGTGGTGGAGTAAGTCCTGTCCTTTAAAGACAAAGACCAGGTTTTAGAAACTTACATCTTATTTTTCTAAGGGGTGAGCCCACAAGTATATTCATCTTAATGTTATCTCTAAAGCAGGGTGAATTAGCAGCATGTGTTAATTTGGAGCAAGCAGAATACTGATCACCACGCAGGACATGAAAAATAACCCCCTCTGAAAATCTACCTCATTTCACAGGTTTTTAATATTGAAAAATCCCACACATAGTTGATTTTTGCAGTATACACAAGTCAAAAATTGAGCTTCTTCATGGGATTTGGCTTGACTAACCTCCTGCCTCACCCTTGCCCTTTCTTGTTCTCTTGCTCTTCTTCCACAGAAAAAGTAAGCCAAACATTCCAGGATGCTATCATAGGGTTTCCCAGTCAGACACTAAGATCTTGTTGGTGGCACTAACATTTTTCTTCTGAGATGTGTACGGGGCTGTGAGCTGCAGGGATACTGCACCTATCTATCGATGAGCCCTTTCAGAGGTCGGGACTGTAACTGTCCTGACTGGGTTGTGGAAAGCTGCTCGTAGGGCCCTAAGTTAAAATGATACAGAGAAGTAGTAATGGTGCTTTTATTTAACCCTACAGTGCGTTTTAATGCTGTTTGCATAGGGTGGAAATTTTAAATATTTGTCTCCCTGAAAACACACAACTCTTCCAAAATAATTAATGACCTTTTTAAAAACTGCGCGCAAGGAGCACCGAGGCTGCAGAAGATGCACTCAGAAGTCAACCCTCTGTGTGCACGCCCATATCTTCCATCTTCTCCATAGCTCTTACGCTGGAACATTTTATTGCATGTCAATATAGTAATTCTAACATAGCATGCATGTTAGATAATGCTTTAAATAAAACTTTAAAGTCCATTTTGTGGCACGCTGTAGAAGTGAGTACTTCTTATGGTATACAGATTCACATTAGTTCTCAGATCATGTGGTTTAATACAAGATAATGCTTTTTCTATGTATTCGTGAAGCACAAAATGAAATCTGTAAGAGTGACTGACCTTAAACTCGTAACTGCCATTCATTTCAGTCTGTGCAGCCCAGCAGATTGGCTGCTGGGAGCTATGCTTGCTGGCTGTTTTTTGAGTCTCTGCAGATGAATGTTCGCCCACTCTATGCAAACATGCACACACTTGGTTTTTTTTTTTTCCCTCATACTGTCTGGTATATTTTCAGAATAACTCTGCGAAGACTTTCTGAACTGCTGGGTATGATCGTCTGCTTGTTATTTTTTTAACTGGGAACTTGTTTAGTCCAGTATTATTTAAACACACTTATCTCTTTGATCAAAGTCTACAATCTGAAATTTGAACAGGGTAGGGAGGGTGGCTGGGTGGGTGAGGAAATCTATCAAGTACATATTTATGTGTGTGCTGCTGTCTTAGCTGCGTGCCTGCAGAACTACAAATGTTTATTGCTTCAGAATAATCTTACAAATATAAATAACTTTGGCTATTTTAGTAGAAGTCCTGAAAATATTGTCTTATTACTAAAATAAAACACTTTTTAGTAAACTTTTCTTGAAGCTATCCGTGACCTGTATATTCAGTTTTTTGGTTTCTTAGGTTTTTTGAAAGTTGAGCTGAGTAACTGTAGTTTATAGCATAGACTTTTCTAGTATTAAGCATGCTAACTGGACTCCGTATATTAATACGTTTAGGGATGACATTAACCTATTTCACTGACTGAACCACAGACCACAGCAGTAAAGCTAGAGAGCTTGAAACAGTTTCTGGAAGTTTTCATTTAGCTGGATCGAGAGAACTAGTTTGTGCAAAGTTAAAATTATATGGAATGAGATTGCAAGATGAGGCATGCATGCCACACCTTTTCATTATGTTTGCTCGCTTTTTTTTTTTCCCCTAAATATAACTTTGAGAGGCATTTCAGTTTATTTTAAAGCAGATCCCATTTGATTATTTTAGATTACTAGATTTTCTAGTCTTATTTTAAAATACAAGTTTGTTCACACGACTAGGAAAAAATCCTGTATTCAATCCACGTGTCATGCAGTCAAATAATTTTTTTCCTAACTTTTAGGATCTTCCTGTGCCAAAGTCTAAGTGATGCTTTATTTCACCATTTTATAGCCCAAAAAGAAGCAGACAGAAATGTTTAGTCTAATCTAAAGCTTTTCCTCACTTTTTAATGTTACTGTTACACTCGAGTAACTTCAAACTGTTGTTACCGATAAAAGTATATTATAAACTTTTTCTCCTACATAATTATCATACACCCTTTAATTTTGTTACCTAGTTTTATTGGCTGAGGGTTGTTACACACAGACACACACAGAGATGCATGCGCTTGCACACATGCATTCTGCTCTGCCCTATCTCAGTTACAGCATAGTCCTACCCAGGGTCATTACAATGTACACATTACATATTTCTAGCAAACATGAAAATGAATCAAACAGCAGGAGAGATAAGCACAGATAGATTGGAGCCTGCTGAGGAATTAAACGGCAGTAATCTGCATGACCACTGGGCTACTCTTCCTGGTTGGATTTAAGTGTTCTTTCCCGTTAGTTGCTGCAGAGCAATGGCAACCCTGAAACGAAAAATTAAATGACTAATAAGAATGAAGTGACATTTAGAGGGACAATTATTTGTGACTCCAAAACGAATTGTTTCTGAAGTGATGTTTAAAACCACCGTCAGCACAAGGCAAGATTTCTTGGCTTGTGGCCAACACCTAGTAATGCATATTAGTGCAGATGAGGAGTTCCTAAAAGTTAGGGAGAGGGAAAGGGAGGGAGGGGGAGACTGAGAATGTGCGTTCTCGGTGCTCACTCTGCATTTGTTTGTATCCTCCTCCTTGCTGAGATTAGAGGAATACCTGTGTAGTGTGCTGCTTTTATTGTGATTTCTGCTGAGCCTCAGAATTGGTTCTGGTATTTTTTTTAGGTGGACTGCCAGCTGCTGATCTCGCTGTTGACAGTAAAAGCAGATATGTTCCTTGCTCACTGCCATTAGCACTGACCATGACCCTTCACACCAAAACCTCTGGAGTTACCCTGCTGCACCAGATTCAAGGCACTGAACTGGAGACACTGAGCAGACCTCAGCTGAAGATTCCCCTGGAAAGATCGCTCAGCGACATGTACGTGGAGAGCAACAAGACAGGAGTTTTTAACTACCCAGAAGGAGCCACTTATGATTTTGGTACTACAGCTCCAGTGTACAGCTCTACTACTCTCAGTTATGCCCCTACTTCTGAGTCTTTTGGGTCCAGCAGTCTGGCAGGATTTCACTCACTGAACAATGTCCCACCAAGTCCGGTGGTATTCTTGCAAACGGCACCCCAGCTCTCACCCTTCATCCATCATCACAGCCAACAGGTACCCTATTACCTTGAAAATGAACAGAGCAGCTTTGGGATGAGGGAAGCTGCTCCTCCAGCCTTCTACAGGTAAATGCTACAGATAAATTTTCTTTCTTTTTTAAGCGTTTCAACTGAAAAATTCAGTGTGGAAATCTGCATGCTCTAATCTTTTATTTTTGTGTAAAGGACCATGTAATTTAATTGAATCTTCCCCGATATCCAGACCATAAAAAATATAGTAGAGTAAAATAAAATTGTAATTCACAGCTCACTGCTGTAAGCTGTAAATTTTGAAAACTGTACAGAAGAAATGAGAAATGAATTTTATAATGAGCATAAATGTTTCCTGGGAAAACATGAAATCGTAATTGATTAAAGAATGGCAAATGACCACCTTTATTGTAATATATTATAATTGCTGCCTAAACTATACTGAAAAGACTTCCACTATCACACACTTCTGGGTGTGAGTGGCTGGTTGTTCATCTCTTAGCTGGTAGTAAGAGCATTTTTCTTCTCTGGCTTCCTTTACGGTGTGAGAAGTGGCTTATGTAGGAAGTAGTTCAGGAGCATAATATCCTTCCTAATCAAACTATTAGAATTGACTCAGTGACAGTATTTGAATCAGTAATCACCTTCACGAGTTATTCTAGTAGCTGTGTATATACTAACCTGCATTTTTGAGTGATCTATATTAATCATAAATCTGGCATGCTGCCTTTCAAGAGATAAGGTTTTTGGTATTTTTGTCCTTCAAACAAAGGGCTATAATTTTTTTCCTGGAATAAAAACATAAACATATCTCTGAAAGGGAGGAATAATTTTCCTTGATTTAAATATTTATTGTCTGTTGTGAAAACATTTACGTAATTTTTGAAGTAAGTAATAGAAATTGATAGAACTGTAGCTTGCAGAAAATAGTCATACACACCAATGCTGACACTGTTGGTGTTTGTGCAGTGATAACAGCATAGTTTTACATTCACTTACTATACTGGGCTTCAGTGACTCAAAGTTAGATGTTAGAAACAGTCAGATGTAGTATTTTTTTCCCCCTAAACTCTTGTCTGTATCTGTTTGAGAGATACAGGTGAAGTTGCTAGAAACAGAATGACTTCGGAAAAGTAGAAGAAAGTTTTTCTTTCCCTGTTGAGGGTCAGACTCTGACAGACTGAATTGCAATGTGTGTTCTTAAAGGCAGTATAACTCAGGCCAGCTAAGAATCTGGTAGCAGAATCTGGTAAAAAAGCCCCAAAAGATATTTGCACTTTTTGCAAATGATTAATCAGTTTGGGGGAGAAGATGGAATAAAGACTGATGAAATATGGAAAGCAGTTATATCAGCCTGTCTAGTACAGTGATCTGTTAACTGAACTGGTTCAAACAAAATGCATTTTAGTGTAACCAAATACAGTACCTCTAAGAAAAGTGAATACATGTCAGAGCATAAAGATCTCCAGTGATTACCGGTGACTTGAGAGTGAAATTGCACTTTGCACTAGCTTAAAAGGTTGGTGTTTTTTTTCATGAACCAGTGCAAACTGATGGTGAAAATTGTGTAAGTGACCTTAGATATGTAAACAATAGAGTAGTGAGTTTGTGAAGTTGAAATACACAGGCAGTAAACATACTATAGTCAGGGTATTTTACTTCAGGAGGAATCGAAACCAAGAATCACTGGAGGTAGAGTTGGAACTATGGAAATAATGTCCTTTTATTTTTAAACAGTGAATTGAGGTGAGACACTTCAAAATAAAATAAACGTACTTGTTTAGTTCAGCTTCTGAAGCAAACATGTAAGGCCGGTGCTGGATTCCCCATTTCCTGACATTTCTGATCAAGGATGAGTGTTTTCCTTAAAGATGTGTTTTAGTTATATGCAATTTATGAGGTTTAATGCAAGCAGTAATTAGGTGAATTTGTGATCTTGGATATACAGGTGGTTTATCTGCATGCAGTGTTATACAAATGATTTAATGGCCCCTTCCAGCCATAATTCTGTGAAGCATACCTTATGTGGTGATAAGAAATGTGTATCAAAGTGCTTATCTTTTGATAGAATTATCTTTTGTTAACAAGTATAGTACTGTTGGAATTAAATTGATAAAAGCTTTGCTTTTTTTCCTTTTCATTTTTGCAAGATTGTATTTACAAAATTATCACCCACACAACATTACATATTAAGTCTTTACTCTTGCGTTTTGGCACGAATCCAGTCATCAGGAGTCTGCTAAAAATAATTTGAATAAATGTTCAGTGTCTGGGAAATATTTAAATATCTAATCATGGCTTTAAGAACAAATTCTTTAAAAAATATTGTCATGCACGAATTTCCAATTTGCTTTATTCATTTGGCTAATCTCACCGGTTTCAGCTGAGTTGCGGGAGAAAAGAGAGCATGGGGCAGGGTAAACTGGCAATAAATAAATTGATGCTGGACATTGGGAGTTGTCTAACTACCAAAATAGTGAGTTTCTGGAACAACCTACCACTGGGAACATTAAAAGCAGAAATTCTTAGAGCAAAAGCCCTAAAAAAATTTAAAATACATCATGATCACTTTGTGATATGGCTGCTTGCTTCTATAATAAGTAATCTAACCTCAGAAAGCCTCCTCTCCAAATCTCATTTACCCTTCTGTGTAACAGAATTTATCTGTTAGGCTTGTAAACCAGAACTGCTTGCATTGCATCATCTTGTTATGCTCTGGATTTGAGATGCAAATGTTGCATTCAGTGATACAAGTGGCTAAGGCAATAATTATTGTAGGTTGGAGCTGAAATTATATTGTTAATAATTGGAGAAACTGTTTAAAATCTTCAGTTACAAACCTCAAAACTTACTGTATGTAATAAGGAAATGTTTTAATGTCATTTGATTTTGTTAATAAGTATTCAAAATTGTGCTTACTATAGACATGTGTAGCTACATGTGTATTAATTATGTGGTTATAGTTTCTTTCTTTCAAATAGTGTTTCCTTTTTCCAAGAAGCTTTATCTCTTATTGCAAGATGATGACAGGCTTCTATATCTAGCCGAAGAACAAAATGATACATAAAGAAAAGAATGATTTTTGTAAAGAATACACCAATCTCCTCCTTTCTGGGGTCTCTAAATCATGGGACATCAGAATTTGATAAAAAAGAAGGGGCTGTCTTTAACTTGACTCCTTTTATGTCTGACCTTGTGGCTGTTTTTATAGGGAGCCAAAGGAAAATACCTTTCTCTTATCTTAGAATGTCGGTATCTTCCAGTAAAAGGGGGAAGACATAGCTCTAATTATCTTTTTAATTCTTCTCAAATCTCACTTTTTATTTTCTCAATTATTTTTATAGTAGTGCTTTTTTTTTTTTTAAAATTAAATGCTGACTAGGAAGTCTTGTAATCATGGATATTACAGTAAATGAACTGAAAGTTTTCTTTTGTTCTTAACTATCACATTTGAGTACTGGTAATTTCTGGTTATTTCCCTGTGCTTTTTGGCAGGATTTTGTTCATTCAGTGAAAAACCAGGAAGCCTTTCAGTAGCTATTTCACCTCAGTAAATTCCTACAAGCAACAGCAAAAATTAATAATTTTTCTTCTTCCAGTGTGTGATGTTCCTGTGCTTTCCCACTGAATTTGTACCTCTCAGACCTGAAGTAAAATTGTACCTTTCTTTCAAGCTCTTTGTAGCCTGGGTTTGGATTTGTTTCCAAATTTGGCCAAAAAGCCAAAAATGGACTACACCTACCAGCTCTCTGATGAGGGAATTGTCTGTCAGTCTGCAGTGAGTGACAGAGGCAGGACAAATCAGTGTAAAATCAGAAATACCAGAAAAAAAATCAGTCATTGCTTCCTCAGTTTCAGTGGGTAGTTTGTGAGTATCTTCTAGCACCTCAGGTTCTAAGTTTAGATGAATATAGTGAAGTGTTTATTTAGCTTTTGTCCCAATTATCATACTGAAATTGATTCTGCTGTTTCAAACAACATGATCACAGCTTTAATTTTTAATGCTTTTTAAAATTGAGAAAGATTAAAATTGCACATCAGTCCTTCTGCTGAAATTCATAAATCCATCACTTTGAAAAACAGTTACTTAACCTAATATGTATTTCTTTTACCTTGGCTGATCTGCTGTGAATCTTTCTGGCTGTTCATGGTGAGTCCTAAATACAGAAAATATTTCCACATTTTAAAATTTAAAGAATGTTACAGTGAATGCAAAATTCAAAGATAATTTTTCTTTTTGTATGTGGTATAAGGTATTACATAACATGTAGGAATACTATATAATGCAGTGTCCTGTTTGGGGTTTTCATTTTGTTTATTTTTCTCTAAAGCATCAATCTCTTCTGAGATCCTCCCTTGAACAGGTAGTGTGTTGAGGCAGTTTCTTGAAAACTCAAAGTATTCCTGTTTCCAGTGCTTGTAGAAGATATGACACAGGACCTACTGTGTAGCTATACCTTTTTGGACTAGGAAGTGGGTGTCAGTGAGGGTCATCACCTAGAGCACCTCAAATGGCATGTGGCATGGACACCAGATGGAAACTTTCATGTGGACACCTTTCTTTGTCTGTGGAGACACAAGAAGAAAGAGGTACTGTGAACACACATTAGTTCTTTCTAAGGTACCTGATTAAAATAAATCAGGTGCATTAGGTTCTAAAAATGCAAGTTTCTCTTTCTAGACTATGAAAGGTGGCTAAAGTGACTCATTCTGGTACAGATATCTAGTGGATGAAGATGGATGCCCAGTGATGTCCAAAGTTATGAGAAAGTAATCTCACATGTATGTCTCCTGTTTCTAAACAGTCAAATTGGTCACCATCTGCAGTCTCGCTTAAATAGACACTGCAGTATGTCCCTTGAGAGGAAGACAGGGAATTGACTCTGTGTTATCGGCCTTGATCACTTTTTCTTTGAGGCTATTGAAACAGCAAACACTGCTGGCCATATCTATTCCGATAGGGAAGGCATCAGTTGCTGGCACCAGTTCCTTCAGCAACTGCAAAGTGAACATCAAATGCCAGCATTTTTTATTTAGCCAACAAGAAAGGATGATCAGACCTAAGGCATAGCTCCAAACAAGCACAGAGAAAAAGA